GGAACTGTGTGTGGACATACTGCATAATCAGGGGAAATTTATACAACTAAGCAGCTATTGTCACGTCTCAGGAATTTGAAGTCAAAGCTCAATAATTTCAGGAACTGATTAAATTTGAGCTAACTACAGCTAAAATTTATTGCACTGGTTAACTAGTGATCTTTTAAATGTTCTGTCTTATGTGAAGTTGATTCCTGTGAGCTTTAAGTCAGGATTGAATGTTGTTATCTTTGCAAAAACATACCTGGAGATGTGTTTTGCTTCATTCATATGTTTATCCTTTATTATTAGTCTGTCTACATCTCAAAATTTGAAAATGCTCATCTTCACCTTGAGAAGTCAAGTAGTAGTTTTCAGCTTAACAGCTACTTTTACCTTCTGATCAATAGAGATAATTATGATTCCCTTACAATTCCAGGGCTGAAATTATCCAAATGGTTCTAGTGATGGTGTATGAGGTTTAAAAACATTTCCTGTATTACCGCATGACATCACAAGGTGGAACAGAGTGTTTTCCATTTGAGAGAAGTGTGTGTGTTAAACATGTGTGAATAAAATGTAATAGCATAAATATTGGCCCTTTTAAGAGACAAGTGCTGAATCAGAGTAAATTTGGAGTAAAATCAGAAATTTGAGATGAGTGAATTGTTAAAGCTATCATCTGTAATTATACTGACTGACCCTCCCCGTTGTATTCTCACATATCACCACTAGATGCTATCTACATTACTGCTGTCGGATAGTGTGCCATCTTTAGCCTGAAATAAGAAGTAGACATAGACTGTATAGAGAAGTGGACTAAGGGAGTGATGGGGGGAGGGGGTGGCTTTAAGGACTTTCAATCCATCTCTCTCAATCCACTTCTTGTGCTTGTCCCAAGTCTGAATAAGTGAAAATAATGAACTACTTCAGGGATAATAGCTTTTTTATTACTTGTTTATAGATGAACATCAAAAGGTTTCACTACAGTCTACAGTCTGAAAGTCAAACAATTACCGTACTAACATTTGTTCTAAATCGAAACACTGTTCAGGGTCAGATTTGCTCAAATAAACTCACACCCTTTTACAATCAAATTATCAAATTAAGAAAATAATTGCCACCTTAATCAGTTAGAAAAAAAAAGTTGCTGAAGTCCTATATCCTTACAGTATTTTGGGTTACCTTGATGCCTCTGACCATGCCCATGTAAAACCCCTGAGATTACAGACAAGAACCAAATGACAAGGACCATATTAGACACCACAGACACCACCATTACATCTTAAATTAAAAGCCCCTTTAAATCACATCAAACGCTCTCCGGATATACAGTATATTTAGCTCATATTATAGGACAAGGTTCACTTAGGAAGAAAACATGTGACTTCTCTGCAGTGCTGTGGGGCCTGGGGCTGATACACTGAAGTTTGAGTGAAATTATCTACTTTGATCCATCACATTGTGTCTGTCATTTGTACCGGCTGCTCTGGGACAGGCCTGGACATGTACTGCTCCTAAACTCCTGCTCGGAAAACGCAAGTGGGAAAGAAACATCCAGAGACAAAACAATATGAGCAATGATGTTATTAGCTTGATACAGACAGGAGTGACGGGAAGTAACTATTCATATTTTGCAGTGACATCACGGTGGGGGTGTTGTACATGTGTTTCTAATGCTGGAATGTTTAGGAGTTACTATGGCGACACAATGCACACGTAAATTTTTTAAAGATAATCTGAAAGCTCAAGAAAAAACCACAAAATGGATTTAAACAACATATTTTCAGGAGCCTGTGATATGATTTTCAAGAAAAATATGAGAGTGACTAACTGAAAAACTGTTGCCTAATGCTACTCAGACTGTAATTTTATGCATTAGAAACTTGTTTAAGCACACAAATCAGCTCCCCTGTTGTAGTTCCAGCTAAATCTTCTTTATCTTTATCTTAAGACTCTTAAATGTTTATGGTGAATGTAGTTTAAGTACTCGATTAAGTAATATTAGCAGCCGTCATCGGTAATTGTAGTAGTAATGTATACAACTATATATTATGATTTAGAACAAGGGTGAGCAATTATTTTTCCATGGGGCCACATGAGAAACAGAAAATATTGTGGAGGGACGGGCCAAAATGCTGAACTCAATTCTTGTATTTCTTTATAAAAAGCAGTAAATAGCAGTGTTTTGATAGACTGGTAAGTCTCCAGTCTTTTTCCTCTGGTGAGCTACCTTTACAAAACAAAAATGCCAAAGAGTTACTTATTTTAACAGTTGCAAGAAATTGAGTATATATAAGCCACAGCCTTAGATTGGGGACAGTGAGATAGATAGAAAACAGATATATAGAAATATAGATAGATAGAAAACATAAACCATTATTCATTTATTAGTACACAAAACCGTGCATAAAAATGATCAAATTTTACTTATTCAGCACAATACGTATAATTCAGAAATCCCTTGGCGATTTACTTGGAAAGGGGTGGAGAGCTACTGGTAGATCCCGAGCTACAGGTTGGAGACCTCTGGACTAAACAATGAAAAAATGAGGTTGACTTAAAAAAAGTAATTTAAATAAAGCACCTCTAAAATAAAAGCAATGCAACTTTAGTCCATGCATGAGGTAAAATTATAAAATATGTTTATGTTGTAATTCCAAATGACCTTAAACGGGCTACTCAGATTCAACCAAAGGGCTGCATATGGCCCAGGAGCTGTACAATACCCTGGTCTGATTTAGAACAATCACTAACAATAAATAAGGGTTCATTAAATGCTTTTCTTCATGGAGATGTTATTGCTTTGTCTGGAATATTTCACAGTATGGTATTAAACCTTTATGTTTTCATGGAGACCAAACCAGACCAAGTTACAAGTCCAATCTGTATAGAGGCAACCCCGTTCACAGTCAGAATGCCTCTTTTTCTAGTTGTAAACAGAAGTGCAATTGAATCAGTGTAAGGTGTTGAGCTGTTTAATAATCTGCTGTGGAACATGCTAGAAAGAGCAATGACATATCTATAGAAACAAGCAGGTGATGGACCATCCTCCATAAAAGTTACACAATGCAACTTTTAATAGATCAATCATGTCTCGTCTTGCACTTTTAATTACTTTGTGTATGAATTGTACTGTACAAATAAACCTGCCTTGCCTTGCTCTCATTGACCCAATCTTGTACTTTTGAGTGAAGGACTGAATTAGGGCATGTCAGGCTTCAGCTTAGGCAGCATTAGTCTATTTATACTCAACCCAGCTATGAAACACAAGCAATGACCTTTCTGTAAAGTCATACCCATAAAACCTATTGTATTGTAGCATTCCCCTCTAATCTCACTAATGCTTTTTCTATTTGTGTTTTATTTTAAGATATCCCAGACCAGTGCTCGCCGTCGCCATGCAACCCCAGAGGTACGGTGCGCTGCGAGGACAAAAAGGGCGATTTCCTGTGTCACTGCTTCACCGGCTGGACAGGGGCCAGATGTGAGAAAGGTATTGTCATCATTGTTCCCATATCGAGGCTATAGTTGGACCGTGGTGGTGGACAGTTCGTAAAGTTGCGAAGGTTACATTTCTGAGATGTATCCGGTAACTCTGTGACTGTCGGCCATCTTTGTAACTCAAGATGTTGCTATAGTTTCCTCTTTGCTGATAAGAGTCTCTTAATCACAGTTATTTGGTCAATGTTTTATCTTACTTTAAAGGTGCACTGTCTAATTTGTCTGCTAGAGGGTCCGTCACCTGCTTGTTTCCATGGAGATGTGCTTAGAATGTTCCATAGTATGGCCATAAACTTATGAATCTCCATGGAGACTTTCAAGCCAAATTACAGGATAGATTTGTGGAGAATAGGGGTGTGCAAAAACGCTGAAATACCGATATATTGTATTGTCGAATGTGATGATACAGTATTGTTATCGTGGGCTGCTGTATCGATATATCACTGAGAGTACTTTTTGGTGCACTTTACTAAATTATTTTGTTACAGTGATACAGTTTTGTTGCTTCTTCAGAGGAAGGAAACTTGTTTATGTAGCACATTTGACATTTTCACTGTTTTGATGATTAAAATGTGTGTGTTTCATATTAACTTTGTACAAGAAGTGGTTTAACAAAGACTTTTAGTATCACAGCCACGAGTTAGCCTTGAACCGTATCGTATAAATTGTAAGTTCACTGTATCGAGATATGTATCGTATCGTGGCTTATGTATCGAGGTATGTATTGTATCGGCAACTTCTGAATGATACCCAGCCCTAGTGGAGAACTGATGTTTTGTAAAGATATTTTTGAGCAATAAATGACACCGGTAGCCTAGTTGTATAAATGCAAGACAAGTTAGTTTAACACCATACTGTGGATAAATTAAACCAAAGCATTAACATCTCCTTGGAGACAAATAGGTTGGAGACTTAATCTAGAAGAGTTTCACAGTGCACCTTTAACTTAACTTTCTATGTTTCTTCTGTCATTCATTCATTCATTGTCAAGTTTCTAAAGTGAGATATATCCATGGGTTTGAGAATGATAAAAAATGAGCACTGTTGCCAGAATGCTGAAACTCTTGAATATTCAGGCCAATATTATCATTGCGCAGAGTTCAGATGAAATAACTATTACTCTTTGGTTTATTGTAATAAAATAAATTACTTGATTTATGTTTGTATTTAGAAGAGAATTTGTTTTCTCTAGTATCCAGCCAAAAGGACAAGCCTGGAGTGTACACTTTGTGGCATTAAGTAGGGATTTCAGATTCATATTACGAGTGATAGGAATGCAACAAGCAAGACAATATTTTCCCCAATAATTTACTAGGTATTAAATATGACAGTGCAGACATAAATACCAGACTTTGTCCTGGCAAATAAAAATGAATGCTGAATGCTTTTTCCTTCTTGCTTTTATAGAGGACAATATTGTGAAAGCCATACAAACGCCACAATAGCTTTAAAGACTTGTGTGTAATTTTAAATTGGAATTTTACCTCCCAATTTGGGCTATCGGTAGCCACTGTGAACCGGTTGCGAAGTTATTTTTTCAGATTTTTAAACCGGATGCCCTTCCAGTCACAGTGTTTGTTAACAATAAAAGTGAAAATCTTCAGTTCGGTGTAATTTTAACAGATTAGATATCAAATATGTTTTAATTACATGCAAAATCCACATGTGGAAGTTTGCGGTCAGTTTTAAGCTGTGAACCCACCAAACTTCCAGCTGTTACTGCTATAAATAATCTATGAGTGATCCATCGAGTCAATATGAACTGCTTGTACAGGAACTATGGTCAGAAAGTGTCCAGTGGGAATTCATGTGTCTCTTTTGGAGGTCGAGGTTTGCCACTGTGTAAAGACTGCTACAATCCACATGAGAAAAGTGGATATTTACCTAGAAATCTGTGTACAGTAGGAAGACCTTTTGTTTTGGACAAGAATCAAGTAATTTGTGGACTTCAGAAGAGGAAAATTTGGTGATGATTTCTGTGGCAAACACTATTCAACACATTTCCACTATGACTCATCCTGCTACCAAGCTGTGAAAGAGAGTTTGGTTTGACTTCAGTTTGGTCTGAACTTTTTCCTTCAGGAGATGACTTCATACAGCCCAAACACATATACAAATACAGTAAAGCTCAACATAAATTAAATAGAAAAATCTAGTGTTCATTTATAGGTAAAACTGAAACTGAAAACACTCTGTTCCATCGTGTGATGTTGTGTAATAATTATTGTGTTTTTAAACTCATTTGGATGCTCTCAGCCTTGGAATTGCCAGTTTCTACTGAGCTAAAGATAAAAGGTAACTGTTGAAAGGGTGAACACTATCACTAAATTACATCATGCTTTGGAGATGTAGACAAACTAATAATAAACTGTTACTCAAACATGTGTGAATGAAACAAAACACAACTCCTGGTCTAACATGGCTTGAAGCTCACAAGAGTCAGTTTTGTTTAATATAGGACCTTTTAAAGGTGCATTATGTCACTTTCCGGATGAGGGGTCCACCATCTGCCATGGAGATATTATTGCTTTGCTGGAAATGATCCATAGTGTATAGCATTCAGCGCATCTGTTTTACATTTAATCAAATACATGAAAAAACATCCATTCTTACTGTGAGCCAGGGCGACGCACCACAGATCTGACGTGTTACTTGGCCTGTTGGCATCACCAGCTTGTCTCCATGGAGATGATAGAAGCTGAATACCATACTGTGAAACGTTCCTGGCAAAGCAATAGCATCTTCATCGACAAGAACAGGTGCTCCACAACTTTCCTTCCTGTCTTAATAGAAGAAAATATGCAGTGAAATTCATACAAATTCTACGATGGTTCCAAACACTTGTGTGCACATTTAAGATGGAAATTTAGCTCCCAGTTTGACATGGGTGGCCACAGTAGACCAGTTGCAGGGTCATTTGGCAGCTTTTTACACCAGATGCCCTTCCATTCGCAACCTAGTGGGCAATGGAGCTTAAGATTTGTTACATTCTCTCAACTCTTTGGTTATAATAAAAGTAAAAATCTTCAGCTTCTTCTATTTTGTTTTTGTTTTCAGATGTGGACGAGTGCGAGACGAGGAACGGCCGCTGTGACCACGAGTGCAACAACACGATGGGCAGTTACCGCTGCTCCTGTCACCATGGATACACACTGTCAGGGCGGCACTTATGTAACGGTACAATATAGATATAGATTTATGTTATAGTAAATGGAGACATCAATAACTGCATCTGCCTTTCTGAGAATCTGACTTCATGAACTTAAATCACCTCTTTTCATTTGGACATATGATGGCTATTGGGGAAATCGCCAGCCTTAGTGAATGGTTTACCACTATTCTGCTTGTAGACATTTTTCATAATTTGGTTAAGAATAAAATGAATAAAATTTTTATGAATTATGAACTGTGAAAAGATAAATTGCTAAAAGATGCAAGGAGATACTCTGAGGTAACTTTTCACAAGTGCTCAAACATTTTATCCTCAGATTTTAGCAGTAAGTAGTATTGTAAGAAATTTATTAATATACGTATATATAACAATTAGAGATTGAATGTATTCTAACGTCATTATTTTTGACTCGTTTTTCATTTATTTTTGTTTTTCAGATGTGAATGAGTGTGAAGACCCCTCGGTTTGTGGGACAGCTGATTGCCTGAACACAGAGGGCAGTTTCAAGTGTCTGTGTGAGCCTGGGTTTGTTTACGACAACGAGACCAAGAGCTGCCTGGGTATGTCCCTCAAACCCCCTCACAGGTCTGGTCCACTGGAGGTCCATCCTGCAGCTGTGTTTTTGTGTCACATACTTTATTATTATCACAACTAAAGAATGTGCTGATAAATGGGTAACAGGTCACTATTGCTTTCTGAAACCAAATTTATTAAAGGAACCCACGTAAACTATCCATGGGTTTCAGAATGATTAAAAAAAAAAAACATTGCCATAGCAATAAACAATTCAAAACAACATTCAAAACATCTGATTACTTTGTCAAATAATATTGACACATGGATACCTAATGTCAGAAGTCTGAAAAATGCTTTTAATCAGTGTTTACACTGCAGTGAAACAGAGACACAACTGTGGGGGGGGAATAAGTGTTCCTGTCCCAGTGTTATCCATGTAAGGTTAAACACTGAGAGGCCCGAGCCCGCTCAGACTGAGGAGACCACTTGAACCCACTCCCAGGGCTCTGTGCATTCCTTCAGTTTGTTGACATAAAAGTTCTTGTTTTGATCAAATTCCTTTGATAATGAGAATTTAACTGCTTTATGCAACCCTTCACTACAAATGCCTAAAACAAAATAACAAATTACTACAGTCATACAAATGACCCTGAACTAGTTCAGCATAATTTTGGTTTAATGTATTTTCTTTGTAAGAAAGATGGTTTACAGTTATTAAATATGTATGTGTTTCAAGCTATAGCGACAGTCCTGTTGTTAGAGCAAATCTGAAATTTAAATCAAAGTATTCTGTATTTTCAGTGGGGAAAAATCCACACGATTCAAGTGTCTTCTGTGTCATTTCCTTTCTTTCTTTCTTTCTTTCTTTCTTTTCAATCCCAGTTAGGCTAAGACCCTTAACTTGTCCCAAAGCCCTGAATTTAACCAAAATACCTTCCTTAATACAAATTCTAATACTAACCCAAACCATAACCTGATAACCTGAGAAATAAGATTATATAAATAATAGTGAAAAAAAAATACTCTTGGGCATCATAATAATAAGGTGGTTGGCACAACTCCAGCTGGACTAACTTGAAAATCACTGATCTAACCTTTTACTTAACTTGTCTGTAACCCTCAGATGTGGATGAGTGCGAGTCCAGTGTTTGTGCCGATGAATGCCTGAATGTTCCTGGGAGTTTCCGGTGTTTTTGTGACGGACGTCAGGGCATGAAGCTGTCCCAGGACCTCAGGAGCTGTAAGGTGAAACACATATACTCTACTGTTTATGTCAAGAGCATGCTTATCTATTATCTGTAGGCCTGAGAATCTGGACAGCTGCCATAGCGAATAACAATTTAACACAAATAACCTTTGAAAGGAGAAAAGGTCCTCAAAATGTTACATAGAACAGGAAGCTGAAACCCAAGATTGAATGTGGTTTCCCTTAAACTGATAAGACTACTAGTATAGTGGACCTGCGTAAACAAATTAGACAGTATTTTTTGCCAAAGTATCTCTCATAAACATTCAAAAATAAGCAAAATAAGCACAGGCTATTAGAGACTTTTACCTCCTCAAATGATATAAGATCAGTTGTACCATCAAAGTTGTAGTAAAATATTTTGTTGTTTTTTTAAGAAAGAGATGATTTAAAAAGTCATGCTAAAAGAAGTGCTGTCCTCTTTGTTTAGCCCATTACTCCATGTATTTCACCGTCTTTGAAAAGGAATCCTCAGTCCCTGTATCTGGGACGCACCTTCAGTGGAGTAGTACCTGTGGTGAGGCTTCGGTTTCGCAGAACATCTAAAACAGGGTAAAGAAGTACTTATTATTAAAATAACAAATTCTTAAAAATATGATAAGATATTGCATGGCATGAAATATTCTGCTGCAAATAGCCTTTTCTCCCATGTATTTGAACAATATGTATATTGCCCCAGTACAGAATATTATATAAGCAGCTCATGAGGTCAAGTGAAGTCTGTAGTGTGCTGTCTGCGTCTAATTAGAAAGCATTTTATTGTCATTGTTTTACCGTTACGGCAAAACTATGCTTTTGTCTCTATTAGTTATAAACTCATCATGGTAAATAATTAGGATGCTCTGAATACATATAAGTGAGGAGTACCTTGCACATTTTTAAGACATAAATCAGGTACAGCGCCTTTAACTAAACTGGTGCAGTCTCTCTCTTTTTTATAGATTTTCAGCAGAGTTTGATTTCCGTACCTATGATTCTGAGGGAGTGATATTTTTTGCTGGAGGTCACTTGAATAGCTCATGGATTGTGCTCGCAATGCATGATGGGAAACTGGAGTTGCAGCTGAAGTACGGTGCAGTGAGCAGGGTCACCAGCAGTGGAGCTGTGGTCAACGATGGACAGTGGAGAAAGGTTTGCTCCTCAAATATTTACCTGTCTATCCAAGCATATCTGTCTTTCATTCTATCATCTACCTATTTATCTCTACATCTCTATCATTATTTCATTCTATCTATTTATTCAGTCTATTTCTCTATCTGTCAATTTATTTAATTCTATCTATAATTGTTTTATTCTATCTATCCAGGCCTGTATATCTTCCATTCTATCTTTTATCTAGGCCTATCTATCTATCTACACATCTGTCTATCTTTATCATTATTTAATTGTATCTATTCAATCTATTTCTCTTAACTGTCTTTATTTCTTCCTTTTTATTTTTCATTCTGTTTCAATCTATCTAGACCTATATATCTTTAATCGTATCATCTATTTATCTGTCCATCTATCAACCAACCTATTCAACGTATTTCTCTATTTGTCTATCTTTCTGTCTGTCTGTTTTTATCATGTTTTCTATCTGTCGATGCACATCTAATATCTATATCTGACCGTCTTTCTTTCATTCTGTTTGTCATTCTCTTATTCTGTCTCTTTCTTCCTCATTATCTCCTTTTCTCTGTCTTTCTCTCTCTCTCTTTTTCCCTCATTCTCTCCTCTCCATCCTTGATTTCTTTATTGTTGCTTTATGTTTATACCTTGTGATTTTGTTTTTCAGATCTCGGTGGAGGAGCAGGGCCGCAGTCTGGTGATAAAGATCGACCGAGAGGCTGTGATGAAGATCGCGGTTAATGGGGACCTGTTCACTCTGAAGAAGGGTCTGGGGCTGCACGAGCTGAACCTGACCGTGGGAGGGGTCCCTTTTAAAGAAGACGGTTTGGTCAATAAAGTGAGGACTTCCACATCATTTTAATATAATGATGTACACATTTTTGAAGGTCTCATATTACGCTATTACACATCACAAACATACATATGTTTTGTTTCATTCACATGTTTTACATACAAACCCTGCATATTTAGGCTGAGTTCTTCTCTCAAACAGATGACATGTGTGTAATACAGGAAGTGCTCCACAGTGTTTTTAAACTCGATACACCTTCACTAGAATCATTTGGTTCAGTAGAAATTGGCATGACTTTACAAGGTGGAAGTATGTTGAGCTTTGGATATATAGACACACTAATAATGCAGGATAACTCAAACATGTGTGAATGAAACAAAACACAACTCTGGGTATGTTTTTGATGAGGTTACAACATGTAACATGGCTTAAAGCTCACAAGAGACCATTTTGTGAAATATAGGACCTTTAAGAAGGCTATAGGTGCTTATTTTATAAAGAGGAGGTGTGATTTTATAAAGAGGAAGTGTGGCGAGTTGCGTAGTAACTTGAGTGAGGTGATGAAAGCTGAGGAGCAGGTAAACTTTGGAGAAGTGGTGAGGTAGACAGGAACGAAGTTAGACTGAATTTACTCTAGCTCCATTAGGCCCATTGCCAGTTTATGATGCCCAGGCCTAATAATGCATTAGTCTTATTTAGCAGTTTTCAAGAAGCTCAAAGTTGCTTTACAATTTTGTGCATTACTTAATCCACACTCACTGTTGGTAAGACACTACTGCCCAATCTTCATTTTTGGCAATGTAGGTGAAGTGTCTTGCCTAAGGACACAACAGTATGCATTAGAAAACCTAACCTTGGTTGTCCTATCCAAGTGCTAACCAGGTCTAATCTTGCTTAGCTTCGAAGATCAGATGAGATTGGGTATTCTAAAGGTGGTATGCGCACATATGAAATGGGTTTTATGAGGGTCTATGGACTGAAATAAATGGAAGATGCTTAATAATTTTCAACAAAAATGTATGTGTTCTCATATATTTTACTTTGTACTTGTAGGTGAACCCTCGTTTGGATGGTTGTATGAAGGATTGGCGCTGGTTGACCGGAGAAGACACCTCGATCCAGCAGACGGTTCAGTCCAATGAGAACATGCAGTGTTTCAGCACAGAGGACCCTGGGGCCTTTTTCAATGGGACAGGATTCGCCTTTTTCAACAGAAGCTTTACAGGTACAACAATGGCAGCTTCATCTCATTTACAGTAGTGGGAACATGGCAACCCTCTTTATTTAGTTAACTGACTTAAACAGGCTTCATGTAACTTTTCTGATCCACATCTAGGTTGTGTCCATGGAGTTTGAACTTGTGTATCTTGCCTTTGTTTAAATATAGATGTTTCAATAGCTAAAAGAAATACTTTGTAAAAGATGCATTCTTAATACGAGTGCAGGGTCCCCTGTCCTCTGATCTGGTGATCACCAAAACAGGGTTCTGCACCTGCTTGTTTTCATGGAGAAGGATTTAGTGAATGCCATATTGTGGAAAATTCCACACAAACTTTGAAAAATCTCCAAAGGGGGGACCGTTTGGAGATTTGTTACAGGGAAAGTTCAAATGCTCTCATAAAAAACATATACACATATTTATATAAACTTAAATTGTGGAGTTTAAATGTTAAAATATGTTGTGTGTAGGTGATATAAATTACGTCACCCCCGGATGTAGTATGTTTGGTTCTTGGACTAGTTTGACATCATCTGGGGAAGCTTATGTTTGTTCCTGTTTTCTTTAGATTCACAAAACCTGAGTGTCCACTTGAGTCTGCGCGCCACTTCTGGGATCGGGGTCTTGTTTGCTCTCATTTACCAGGACCGGGTTCCTCTGTCCATTTCTTTAGCCGACTACCATCCAGGGACAGATGAGTGGAGAGATGTGAGTACAATGACAATGAAAACTGTATAATTCTAAATAATGTCAATTTGATTAAAAAATAGATTTTGTCCTTTGAATTAAAAAGTAACAATCTGGAATTTCCTTTACTCTATTAAAAGTCAAATTTTGTTGTTTTTGTTGCTATTTAATGTTTGGAAATATCAACCTTGCACTTAATGTTGCAAATTGTAAACTACAGGCTTAACACCAGCTTGACAAAAGTTTGTACTTGCTCTAGAGACTGACTTAATTATATAATTATAATTGACTATGTTGTGGGAAAACTTATATATTTCTTGATGGTAAATAATTACCTAATCCATTTGCGAAGCCCACTGAGTTTATGGAATACAGACAAAGGTTTATTCTTGTTACAGCAGATATGGACAGGACCAACAGCCTCTCCCCCCCAGCAGTATGTCCCACAGTCTCTGCTCTTTTTCTCTGCCATGAGTCTCTGCTGAGCCTTTACACATGCTAATGACTGGTCTGGGTCTCAGGTAGAAATCACATTCATTTACACAAAGACGGATCGAGATCTTTCCATAATTTTCCATAAATTTCCATCACAACTACAAACTCATCCAAAACTTCAGACTGAATAGCAGACTGGTGTAGTTTGATTTTGTGCACCCTTCACCCTAAAGTGTTCAAATAAAGCTTTAGGTTTATATTGATGACCTCTTCTGGAGATTTAAGGCCGATAGCCAATACACTAAAAACTGCAAGTATTGGCTCATTATATTTGGTTCATCTCTAACTTATTTCTCTATTGTTTTCTCAGTTTGTCCTGGTTACGTCCGGTGACGCCATAGTGGCCAGTTCCCCCAGTCCTCTGTGTGACGGAGAGGGTCATGGGATTGAAGTGACGATTTCGGCCAATCAGACGTTGCTCCTGATTGACGGGCAGCCAGGACGAAGTGGCGACACTGTAGTTCCCATGGAGATCCTGCCTCAGTCCAGCACGTTCATAGGAGGACTACCAGGTCAGGAGAAACACTTGAATACTTAAACGTCTATATGTTTTACTTTTAAATTATCCTATCTGACTTTCTAGTGTTATTAAGTAACACTAGAACTATTAAGTAAGTAAGATGCGAAGATAGTGCTGATAATGTTAGTTTTATAAAGTCTAAAATTTTTTAATAGCTACTTGAGGAGTTTTACAATTTATTCTTTATTCATTCTACTTACTCGTCACCATGGGCAAGGTACAGCCACTGCTGGACCATCTAGCTGATCAATCAAACATTTGGAATTTGAGTTCATAAGTGTTTTCTGAGCTAAATTGCAGTGATAAAAAGTCAGACTTTATGTTCAAATGAATACCGAAAAGCTATTTTTATTAGCTGTTAATATGACAAAATAAAATAAAGAATTGTGATCAATATGAGAAAATTCCCCAGCCTTATCCAAACATTTGCTTTTGTATCAGTAGTGTTAAACATTCTGCATGTGATCTTACAGTAAGCTGTTAAATCACAACAACAACAAAATACCACTCTGCGTCATTAACCATATTTGAAATTTAAAACTTTAAAGACTCAAGTTCTTAGTGACAATATCCTCTTTGGTGAAAAGGTCATGCTCTTGATAACAAACTTTGTGAATAAGCCAATCTGCTTATCTTTGAAATGAACTGGATTGAATCTAGAAGTTGTATATTTAGCCTCCTCATAGACCACCTGCACATTGTTGTCTTAGTTTTTCATCACCAACACATAATAACAAACACACATGACTTCTCTCTGCCTGCTCCAGACGTCCCCCTGGTGTCCACTCTGGTGTCTGCATCCTACAGCGGCTGCATGGAGGTCAGTGTAAACGGACAGCAGCTGGATCTGGACCAAGCCACCCACAAACACAACGACATCCGCTCTCACTCCTGCCCCCTGCTGGACTTCTACCAGTGATGCACATAAGTAACAGTATTTATTAAACCAGGACTTTGCTAATACAGACTGAATAGAAAACATCTAACCAGGTTTTGTGGTCCAGTTGGTGCTTAGATCATTGTTTTGTGACACTGTTGCTTAAAGGCATTAGCTGGGCTTTTCAGTGTTTATTTGAAATGGCACATATATTAGCAGCAGAAGAGGCAATAAGTGCTGGACAAGATTGTCTTAACACTGCCCGTGTACTATTAGCCTTGATATTAGCCCCATAAGAACACACAGGGCCTTAAAATGGGGTCGAAGCTAAGCTTGCAGAGGTGGGAAGTAAGTAGCAAAGATCATTTTTGAGTGTAAACATACTCGGACTTGAGTGTCTGAAATAACACGTTTCATGTACTCGAGCAAAAGTTTTATTATAATCATATTTTTATTTGATTATTTTTTTGTATCCCATTGGTGAATCTTGCAGTCTGTACTTTTTACTTTTATTGTTTTATTTATAATTAACAATTTTGTTGATGACTTTTACTTATAATTTCGTACTTTTGAGTAGCTTTTACAGAGTACTTGGTTTGAGTATTTCATCCACCTCTTTACACCATGATCTGTATCTTTAGTGAAATCACTCACTGCAACAATTTTTGATAACATTTTATAATAACTACTGCTCCTTAATGAAGTATGAACAAAGACTTTATAATTAACAAATTGTGTATTCAGAATGATTCAGGCTTAGTAACATCTTAGTTAAAGTGCTCATAATAAGCTATTTATAATGTTATTTCTTCATCAAAAACATACCTGGAGTTGTGTTTTGTTTAATTTACATGTTTAACACACAAAACCTGTGTATTTGTGCTGAGTTCTTCTCTCAAACAGAAAACGCACTGTTCCACCTTTTGATGTCATGTGGTAATACAGGAAGTGCTCCACTGTGTTTTAAAGCTCCTTTACAAAATCTTTTGGATAATTTCAGCCCTAGAATGGCCTCACTCTACTAAACAAAACATAAAAGGAGCTGTTAACTTGAAAACTACCGCTTCATGACATCAGAAGGTGGAACAAAGCATTTTGAGCTTTGGAGATGTGTAGACAGACTAATCATGATGGGTTACTCAGATATGTTTGAATGAAATAAAACACAGCTCCAAGTATGTTTTTGTTGAGGTAAAACATTCCAGCATGGTCTAAAGCTCACAAGAGTCAATTTTGTGTAATATAGGACCTTTAATAAACAATTTGTTCATTATAACTTAAGTCTTTGCTCATGCTTTATGAAGACTAATGTGCAGTTACTATAAAATGTTACCCAATTTTCTGGTTGCATTCAGTTCAATTGTGACCCCTAGTGGCAAAACCTGAAGCCAAACAAGACGAGGACCATTATAACCAACAGGTGCTCTGATAGTTACTTCAAATGGGGTCACTGTAGTAAAGTAGGTCCCTGGTTAATGTTAATAGGAACGGAGGTGTGCTCACAATGCTGCATTTAGCTGCTTTCTGTGAAAAAGTAAAACTTGCACATTGTTGCAGATGGACATGGACCACACAGTGAAGCCATTTGTGTAATAATAAAACTCTCCATGTCCCTCTGCAGCATCAATTGAACCACGTGCCTCGAGTAACAACACACCCTGTAGATGTAGTACTGTAACTGAGATGCTACTCATGTAAATAGAAATAATCCACATAGTACAGACCACAAGTGTTAGAGGAGAAGTTTGTGATTTCCTTTACTTTTCATACATAGACTGTATAAAGAAGTGGAAAAGTTTAATAAAAAATAGACAAAATAGCAAAATAAAAACACTAGTATCATGTAGAGTGGGTTAATACGAACATTTTAAGACCAAAATGACAGGTCGATGGAGGCGGAAGAGACCCCATGGTCAATTTCTATTTGAAACACGGCATCTAGTGGATCAGCTATGTCTATTTATATACAGTCTATGGTTTCATATAGTTTTTTTCAAGCAGTATTAGTAAGTATAATGGACAAAACGAACCTTTACAGCTAGAAATCTTACAATGCTTACATGCTTAGGCTTGTAAAACTGCATATTAAAGATGTATACATTTATAGTTTTATATAGGTTATACCGTTGTCACTATTGTTTCATAGTCTAATGTTTATTTTGCTATAATTTACTCAAACTGACAATTTCAAGTAATCTTATTGTTTTTCAAATCCTGTATCAAGATATATTTGTCCAAAAATCTTTAACCTTTCCACAACACGGCAGAGCGCATAATAATGAACCGTTATTAAAAGCTGATCACTGTTTAATTATATTTTTATACATAATTACAGCTCACTTACTTCTCCTTTAAAACCCAAACTTTCTGTCCCTGTTCCTCACCTTTGCCACTAAAGCACAGGGAGCGTGAGGGGGGAGCATCGGCTGCACCACGAGCTACTGAGCGACAGCGCTGTGTATGATAGAGATGTGTAAATATGTGTATGGCTTTATAGAGAAAACAAACACTACCTTTTGCTGTGCTTTGATTTGATTCAGAATGGTGCAACTTCATATAAGGGCCTTAAGTTAAAGGTGCATTAAAGACACACCATGAAACTTTTTGGTTCGGGGTCTGTCACCTACTTGTTTCTATGGGTATGTCATTGTTCTGCCTTGAATGTCCCACAGTATGACATTAAACAGCTCTGCCTTACATTTATTAAATTACAGGTGTTTTATTGTTCAAAAATAGCTAGAAAAACTGGCATTTTGACCGTGTCGCCTCTGCACAGATCTGACCTGTAACTTGGTCTCATTTGCTCACCATGACAGGAGAAAGGTTTAATACCGTACTGTGATCTCCATGGAGAAAAGGATTTGATGAACCCTCCACCAGAAAAGTTACACAGTGCACCTTTAAGCTAAAAGTGCATTATGTAATGTTGTGTTTTTTGGTGGAGGGTTCATCAGCAGTCCCATAAACTTTCTATTTAGATGGACAAAGCAGGTGGCCACCAGTTTAATGTCTAATTTTCCAGGAAAAGCAATAACATCTCCACGGAGACAACAAAAAGCGGATCCCTTTACCAAAAATGTTATAGTGCACCTTTAAGGAGTTACAGTACGTGTGTCATTCATTGAGTTAACATCTTAAGTTTAGGGACCATTATTAAAGGCTAACTAAGTTTTAACTGGCACGATATTGTCTCACACTATGGAAATTCTAGTGTTGCTTTGTTATTCACCTGTTAAAGCACTTCTGTGTCCTGTAACATTAATTGCTTATATTGCAAATAATTAGAGGATAATTTAATGTTGAAAGAAATGTAATGGCTAAGCAAGTCATTTTCAAATATGCACAGAACAAAGCATATAAAGATCTATTTAACCATTTCTGTGCTTTATTACTAGTTTACCAATAATATGTGGTCCTTAAGTATTACCTTATTTGATTGTTGTTTTGTCCATTTCAGTATTGTTTTACTCTTTTATTAGTTAGTATAGTAGTTAGTTTAGTAGTTAGTTAGTTTGTTAAATACATAGTCTTCACATTTCTAGCCTATTATTTGTACTCAGGCCCTTGTTTTAAAATTGCACCTCCAAAGTCTGTGTTCCTTTTTGAATGAATTTGAAACTGCATGTGATTAGAAGAATGAGTAAATGCGGAGAAACCAAAAATGAGGATGTTGATCTTTTTCTCTGAGTTTAAATACATTTTAGGTGCTTCAGCATTTCACTAAAACACAGAATGTAGTTTGCCAAAGGGCTCTCACCGTTTCCTCATTTCCTGTTTTATTGTACATTTTAGGTTTTGATGAATAAATGCCAAATGTAGAGCTTGATGATGTTTTTATCACATGTGTGGTATGTTTATCTTTTAGTTTTTAATTTTCACTTTTACTGCCAGTATGTGTACAATCCTGAGTGATGTTTGCTTTTTGGTTTCTGTTTCCTCAACAGTTAAAATTATATTTAAAACAAAATAAAAGCAGTAAACTGGATTTTAAAACAAACATGTGGATTGTGTGTTTTTATGTGAACAATGACAGACAGCAGTACAAATCTACCATTTATTACACAATATGAAGCCCTTAACATGAATCTGTGAGGGAATTCAATTTATTTTATAGGTGCACTATTAAACTTTCCTAATGGAGGGCCACCTGTTAGCCTAGAATGTCTCATAGTATGGCATTAAACTGATCTAAGTATTTTTAATCAATAAAAACACTGGTAATTGAAATGCAAAATATGTTTAAAGCCATTCTATGGGACATTGCAAAGCAATAACATCACAACATTTCCATGGAGGTGAGCACCAGAAATGTTCCACAGTGCACCTTTAACATGAACACAAAAGAAGTTAAAGCAGTGTTAACAGTGTCAACAGGAGTTCACATGCACCATCAATAATATGTAATTGTGTAAGGTGAATATTAAGGATGTACACATTAACACAGTAGCCTAAATAAGATCATTTGCATCTCCTCAGTTCACATTTCAACAAAGCCCTTTTATAGGTCACCTTTAAAATGCTTTTAACTGTATCCTGGTTTTCTAAACAGATTGACACACAGTGTTGCGCTAACTAGTGTAATGCACTATTGCTGTATTTGAACACACTCAAAAATATAAAAAGTACTTGTATTTGAAGTCTCAATGGGGGATAACAGGAGACTATTCAGAGCACAGTACAGATGGATTCAAAAGTCCAGATAACAGAGCAAATAATAAATAAATAAATACATTACCATCATATAAAATACATCTCCTTATAACTGTGTTTTTATTTATTAGACAGAATTGGATCTAGACTTCTGGTGTATTCGAGACACAATATTCTAGAAACTATAGGTTAAAACTGAACTGAAGAACAGGTCAGAAATCTGAATTTCTGTTCACGGTCAGATTGCAGATTTGTAGATCTGGTTTATGGTTGAGATTTCTGTAATTACTGAGCCTATATTTAATTATTAAACAAAAACTGGCACAAAGTTCAAGCACTTTTCTATCGGTATAAATGTTCTTTTCATAATCGCTTCAGAGAGTTGTGCCATTAGTCAATCCTAAAGATGTGATTGTTGAAGGGAAAGCCATAAGATTAATATAATAAATTATGTGGCGTTTGTATAGTGTATCATTATTATTATTATTAGCCCCCAGTAACACACAAAGCGATGTCACAGAAAACTATCGGTTCATTTTGATATGCTAATTAAATCACATTGACAGTACACAGCAATCTGTTTTGATGCTTTGAGTCACATGTTTCTGTTTAAAACACAATAAACATTTAAAGTTCAATGTCCAGTGTGATGGTTTTCAAATATTGTGCTCCAAATTCAAATATAATTTTCCTAATTATTCACAAAATTTACTCAGTACGCATAAGGAGGTGGTTTCTCAAATGGCCCATACGCTTCTCCATACAGCATCGGGGCATTAGGGGCATTAGGTGTTGGGTATCCGCCTGTCTCCTGGGTGCTGCCCTGGGAGTGAGGGTGTCCTGTGGGGTGGGGCTGTCCCAGAGGCTGGGGGGGTACCTGGGGGTGGACCTGGGGGTGGACCTGGGGGTGGACCTGGGGGTGAGTGATGGGCATCTGTCCCGACGGGGGAGGGGGCTGCTGGTTCTGAGGAGGGTCACACGGGTGAGGGTTGGTAGGACAGCCTCCTTCAGGGATGGGCTGAGGCGTGGAAGAAGAAGGGTAAGTGGGGTTTGGCTGTGGGAAAAAGAAATATATGAGACATTTGTAATAACCATGTTGGAAGAAGTTCTCAATTTTGTTACTTGAGTAAAAGTGCAGATACAGAGGCAAAAAATTACTCAAGGAAAAGTAAAAGCATCACATGAAAAAATGTACTTAAGTAAAAGTATTAAAGTACTTTAAAAATTGACTTAAAGACTAAAAATTAAAAGTATTTTGCTCAGATTTTGAAATATAATAAGGCTTCAAATGTAGTGATTTTCATAATGAATCGTGCTGACTTTTCGCTGTTTTTATTTGCATATTTATGTCAAAACTACAAACACGTTAAAAATAAACCCTCAGCATTTTCAGCAGGTTTCAAACAATTATAAAAAATACTTCTACTTTTCTGACCAGAATGTGGTGGAGTAGAAAATACAGATACCTGCTGTCAAATGTAGTGAAGTAAAAGTATCCACTTTAAAATCTACTTAAGTGCAGATACCTAATAAGGCTGCACAATACATCTTTATCAAACCAGAGGCACAAGCTGAGCTCCATTTTCAAATCACTAACCCGAATTATTTAAACTGAATATTGTCCTATGCAAATGTCAGGACTATCGATATGGAGCCCCATTGTTCATGTTCCAGGTTGGTGAAGTTTTAGCCCCTGTATGATTCTTACATGACTCACCTGTATGGGTATGGGGTAGTTGGGGTAGGCAGGGAGGGCCTGAGGGGGGCAGAAGCTGGCGTAGGTGAGGATGTGCTGGTTTGGGTTGTACACGATGTGAGGCGGAGGAACTGGACTCGGAGGGATGTTACGAGATGGTTTCTGCTGCAAGAGAAAGGTCAGTGTAAAAAGTACTGCAATAAAATTAGGATATGAAAATGTTTTGGGGTTCTACAATGGAAAAAATGCGGTGTTGCAACTGGAAAGTACAGAGATAGCTGCCTAATAAGTAGCAAAAAAAATTACTGTTACCAAAAACTTAACATGAAGGGTCAGATTTATACATATTTAAATAGAAATAAATAAACAGACCTTCTTTTAGCCAAAATTAAGTACTTTTTTTTTTAAAGCTGGTTATTTTGCAGCAATATATTTTTTGATCTGATCTGCATGTCAACTGGGAACATTTACACTACATGTAAAAATCAACTAGAATCAGATAACTCAACAATTATAACAACAATAATTAGATCAGATTTTTGGTGGATCACTGGAAGTACAATTTATTTAATAAAAATTACTCTTACAGTCTTTAACATTCTCTCTTTTATTTTGGTCTTTGTTATCTCAGTTTGCCCTTTTTTACATAATTGTCCTTGTCAGATCAGATAATAATCACATTTTTGGTGTGCATGTAAACATCCCTGCCAGCATTGGTCACTCACAGCCAATAACAACAATCCTCAAAAGATAAATAGATTAGTTTGTATGTATCATAATAAATCATTTATAATTATAGTTGCCTATTAATTCTGTATTATTATAACAGTAAAAGCATAAACTTTGGTATACCTTTTGATTCTTGCTTACCAGGTCCTTGTAAGCTCCGAGCAGCGCAGCATTGATGATTCCCAGAAACATGGTGACTACGTTGAGTACGACAGAGGCCCAGAGCAGACGGTGTAGGTGGATCACATCCCAACAGCTGCTCACACCAGTGAACCTGTAGTACTGTGAGTGATAGTCACTGAAAATACAACAAAAACAGTTAAAACAAATGGACAATCAGTGCATTTTTAACATTAAATAAAAACATTTTTTAGTAATCAGCAGAGATGTGTATCCCTCAGTTACATTTATGTTATGTTTATGTGAGAAATTGTAATTTTCTAAGTATTTTTCTTGAAGCATAGTTTTACTCCTCCTTGAGTAATGTTTATTGAAGTAACAGTACTCTTACTTGAGTAAAAGTTTTCTTTACTCTTCCCACTGTGCGTAAGTTTACAAAATCATTTTGTTGACAATATGAAATGATTTGAACATTTGTCTTTCTTGCACCACTTAAGATGTTTTTCTTATCTTTCTGTATATCTTTTGTGCATTATTTAATGTTTTGTTCAACTGTTAAATTTATGTCCTGACACTTTAAGTTACTCTTACTTGAGTAGTAGTTTACCCAAATTTTACTTGAGTCATTTATCTCTTGGACCACTACTTTGTACTTTTACTTTTTGTAGTGACATTTTGTTATTCAGTTATCTCCTTGGAATAGCGTGTTCAAATAAAGTTGACCAAAACAAAATTGTTACATAGTGAATCTTTACATATTCACTTTTCAAACAATTTACTTTATATATTTCTGTAGAGAGATACATGCATCTATTACTATCTATGCATCTACTATCTGTGCATTTCTATACATGCATATCTATTGTACTTCTACTTGAGTAATATTATTTTTAAGTAATGTTACTCTTGAGTAAAATTTTTGGCTACTCAACACACAATTTTAGTCATTTATTCATGCACAGCTCTGACCTCTCACAGTTGTACAGGTAGCAGCAGTAGCAGGTGTGGCTTTCCAGTTTGAGTTTGCAGGCCTTGTTTGAAGCACGGCATGTCACCTGGAGATGAACAAAGTTACCTCACGTATTTTCACAACAGAATAAAAAAATAAATAATACAATAGATTTCATATGAATTTTTTCAGTCAGTTAAAGCAAAGACATTGTGGCAGGTAACAACACTGTTCATGAATTTTCAACTTCCTGTTTATGAGGACTTTTCACCATTTGTAAAGCTATTTTGTTTGGAATTGTTCATTGCTCTGGTTCTAATTTTTCATCACTCTAAAACGTCAGATGTTAGCACAGCCTCATCAATGGGCATCTTATTTTAGCATATATTTATAACTATAACAATAACTATTTACGACAAAAACATAATTTGAAAGATATTTTTTGTAGTAGGACCTCGGTGTAGTAGTTGTCGTAAGCGTATCCAGAAACACTTCCATAATAGTCGCACATGTCCTCCTCCAGTGGCCTTATGTCCTGTGGATGAAAAAAAACTATAATTAAAACATAATTAATTACATATTTTGTTTTATGCAACACATACAAAACCACCAGCATTATTCCATTCTTCAGTTTAATAAGGGGACAGTGGCAGTAAAAGTTTTCATTATGCAAAGCTGCCTGACCCCCTAAATCAGTTTTACAGTTTTACAGTGCTCTGAGTATAAAATGATCATTACTGCTGTGGTGATGGCATTGATTAGTATCAGAGACTTGGCACCAATTTCAGGTTTTTACTGTCTAAAGATTTTGGAGGTCTACAGATGATATGGGGAATGATTGAAAGTGTATGCAACAGTCTAACAAGGCTTGACACCCTGGAAATGTAGTTGTGTTTATAACAAACATTGTACAAATGTCTGTTCCCTACAAAATATATTTATATAGACTAGAGAGATTGACTGCTATGGGTGTTTTCATGGCTGATGCCGACTGTTTGGAATCCAGAGCAAACGAAGGCCGATTAACTCTACCGATATTTTTGAGCTTATATGTAAGGCCAATTTAGATGATTTCTTCCAAATGTTCTAACTGAAATTTACTATAAGCTCAGCTCACAGCTCTTTTTTACTGCAAACCTTTTTATTGTATTGAGTTGTGTAGTAACTTTTTGTTATTCAGTTACCTCTTTGGAATAAGATGTTCAAATAAAGTTAACCAACACAAAATTGTTACATTGTGAACCTTTACATATTCACTTTTTATATAATTTATTTTAATTCGGTAGACAAATACATGTATAGATAGATAGATACATAGATAGACAGGTATACAAGCTATGTATAAAAATTCATAAATGTTATAATATCTGTGTGAAATCTTGATACATACAATGAGCTGTGATGCGATTATCCCGTCCACAATAGCACAGAGGAAGGCTGCGATGACTCCCATACTGATGAAAATGATGGAGGCAATCAGCTGCAAACACAACAAGAAAATACGCATTTTATATTATTTTACTGACCTTTATTTAGCCAAGATAGCCTCACAGGTACAGGGAAAACATGCAAACTTCACACACAAAGGCGCCCCAGAATCAAACTCAGGACCTGCTTGCTGTGAGACGAGAGCGCTAACCTCTTTGTCACCGTGCCTCCCAAACATTAAACAAACATGAACTGCAGAGGTTATCCTACCAGACATTTGACTTACTCTTTTTTGTTTAGTTACTCTTTCCACTACTTATATAGTGAGTCTTAGATTTAGACTTAGACAAACTTTATTGATCCACAAGGGAAATTATTTGAACACAGACATCACAATATAATAACAAGTCAAAATCTAAAATTGACAAAAGCCTCACGTGAAAAATATTCAAGGATTTGACAAATTTGTCTCCTCTCTGGAAATGCTACAATATCTGCATTATTTAGGCCTAATATACTGTGATTTTTATTTATTTTATTTATTTATTTATTTATTTATTTGAGACAGGGACAGCACACAATTTTTGCATTTTTACCTTAACAGGAGAGATGCATTGTACATCAGGTTGTAGCATCAGTGCTAATTTCCACCTGTAGTCCCTGGGCAGGTTCATTGATTGATTGTATTTAACTGACCTTGACTATCAACTGTTCTGGAGACCTATGTAGCATGTTGGGTTTGTCAGCTCACATCATTAATAAAACCATTAGTTATGTATTTACAAAAATATATTATTTGGAGCACTATATTTTAATTGCTAATATAATTTTAAAGACCCAGTATTACACAAAAGTGAGCTCAAAGTTACCTCATCACAAACATACCCCGGAGTTGTGTTTTGTTTCAGTCACACGTTTGAGTAACTTTTAATAATTAGTGTTTCTACATCTCCAAAACTCAAAATGCTCTGTTCCACCTTGTGATATGATGAAGTGGTAGTTTTCAAGTTAACAGCTGCCTTTTGTTAAACAGAGATTGGCAATTCCAGGTCTGAAATAATCCAAATAATTCTAGTGAATGTGTATGTATAAAAACACAGTGGAGCACTTCCTGTTTTATCACACGACATCACAAGGTGGAGTGAGAAGAACTAAATATGTAATGCTTGCAACATGTGTGAATGAAACAAAACCCAACTCTGGTTATGGTGATGAAGAAAAGTGTAACAATGCTCTAACTTAAAGACAGTTCTTAAAACTATTAATACTTTGATTGGTTTTATTGTCAGTTGTGGCAAATGAACTTCCTTCTTGGAGGTGCTGTGAGTCATGGGCCATGGACAAGATTGGGGTCATACAAGGTCAGTTTAATCCTCTGTATCTCACGTCAACAAAATTAAAAGCCACAGAGAGATGAGATTTAATGCCGATCAATGACACAAACTACTGGTATTTTAAACTTTGGCGGTGATCAATATATTGTTAATTTAATATGAAAATATACAGAAGAAACATAATCACAAAGCTGAAAAAAACTTAAAACAACAGAAACACATTATGAAGTGAAATTTCTGCATCTGTGTGGTTAATTTTAAAATTAAAGGTGCATTGTGTAATTTTTTTGGTGAACGGTCCATCATACTGTGTCAAGTTACAAACCACAACCATATTTATAGCACATTTTTGACAGATAGCAAAATATATATAATTTTTTTCAGGCTAATCCCCACAAAAATGACATTATATTTAATGTCTAAATATCACCCACTTCTTCATTGTTCTGGTATCTATACATTACATGGGGGTTTAAGCTTGTGTATCATATATTTTTACATAATAATCTTTTTCTAATGTCCACCACAGACCCGTGTCCAGTAAAGCAGCTGGCTGATCACAGATGCCCGACCATCATTTTTATCACTCTGGGTTTTTACTGCTGTTTCATGTTCCCCTCAGGACTGAACCGTCTGGACTTAAACTAGAAATTTTCGTGTTATGGACCTAAATGGATGTTGTGTACATAATTTGTATGTTATTTACAACATCTGCAAGCTGTGCCTCTGTGTAATAAAAATAAAAATTTTAAAATAAAATGCTGACAAAAATTATGTAGAAGGATGCCAGTGGTGAAAACTGCTTTGTCATTAGGTAAGACACTTCACCCACATTGCCTCCATGAATGTGGTGCATGCGTGAGTGATGGTGGTGGTCGCAGGGTCAATGGCGCAGATTGGCAGCCACACTTCCATCAGTTTGTCCCAGGGTGACTATGGATGAAGTGAATGAATAATGCTACCACTTCAAGTACTACCACTTCAAGTACTACTATTGCATTCAGTAATAGAATATAAAAACCTCTAACTTTCTTTTACTTTTCGAGAATTTCTTATGGTTTCAGTAGCCTGATTCATCAGCCAGTTTCACTTCGTAGAAACTGTTTTAGGATTTGTTCACTCAAAGGTAGGCATGTGACGTATGTAATGCATCTGGTATATTAAGCTTTTCCCAAATCCCGAAGGAAGAAGGACAATATCGTCTTTCCCCTTGATAAAATTCACCGAACATTCTCTTTGTTCCGGCTTTAAATCCTCGATCTCGGGAATCGTGGCCAACACAGAATGCATGACTCTTCGCTGATTGGCTGGTGTCCGTACTTGCATTTCTGGGGTTTTTGTGAACCATCTAGTGCAGGGGTGTCAAACTCATTTTGGTCCGGGGGCCGTATCCAACCTACTTTGATCCCAAAGGGGCCGGACCAGAAAACTCATGACATATAAACCCCAAAAATAACAATAAGTTAAAATATTTCTGCAGAGAAACACAAATCTATTACAGAAATCTTTTTTAATTGATGAACTCTTTCTTATTATAATATTATAATATTATGAACAACCTGACACTTGAAGAAAAATTCTATTTCAACACAAAGTTTTAACATTAACTTGTATGCAAACAGGAATAAGTCAATTTTTCTTGGAAAATTCTGCACTCAGCGTCCCCTTTTCTCATGTTGGACATTTTTCTGATGAGAGTGTCATGGTCAACAGTAAAAACGATCGTCCTTTAAGAGCGTTTGGAAAGAGACAAGTCTTCATTTGTGCTGCTCTGGTGGGAGGGGCCACGTACAGAGACACTGGAGACGCTGCTATGCTAAGCACCGCAGAAAATTACCAATATTTTAATAGAAAATGTAATTAAAATATTTTAGTAGAAAATCACCCAAGGGCCACATTAAAGGTCTTGGAGGGCCGGATCTGGCCCCCGGGCCGTATGTTTGACATCTGTGATCTAGTGTATTCCATTTTCTGACCTAGTTGCTGGAGAGAAATTAAATTGAGTGCCACCTAGTGCCTGTGGGGCCAGCCTGGCTACGGGTTCAGTGTACCCTATGACAAACTTTCATTGTTTGTTGTAATGTTTTAATTGTCGTAATCAAAAATCTAGCTCTTATTTTTTGATACAAAATGGAACGAGAGTCTTTAGGAACACTTACCTAATACATTTATATATTTAGCAAACTATGACGTTAATTTTCTCAATTATAGTTTAAAAGAATGTTAAAAAGCACATTATGTAACTTTTCTGGAGGATGGTTCACTAAATGCTGCATGTCGAGATTAAACTTGTCTTTCTATATGGAGACAAGCTGACCACAAGGCCAAGTTACAGGCCAGATCTGTGGAAAGGCGACCTCCCTCACAGTAAAATGCTTTTTTTTAAATATAGTTTTGATCAATAAAAATAAATGTAAGATTGATCACATTATTGCCATACTGCGGCACCCTCAATTAGAAAAGTTAGACATTGCCTCTTTAAAGCTTGACCGTGTTTTATGTTGAGGAAAGCAAAAGTGGACAAAAGCTGCCTGTGTAGACTTAATGGTTTGGGGTCACTTTTATGAATGCCTCTTATAATACTAGTCGTGTGGTATTTGAATTGAGCTGTAATGAATTCCTGATAGTAAAGTTTGAATGGGACCTTGTTAAAACACTATATTGACCTGATCTCCTCAGCGGCCGCAGTGAAAAGCACAACTTCACAATAGATCATTTAAATCATTCAAACTGCATTATGTCCAAATCATTGACTTATTTAATCAGACTGATATATTTTAGCTGCAAATCTCAAAATCTTGGCTGAGAAAACAATATATTTTTCAATAAAGTTTTATCTGTCAGCCTTGGGCCAGACTTTCTACTTCATTAGCGCTTTAAATGACTTTGGTTTTATGGGCTGTGAGCACGAGGCGGGTGCAGAGAGTGGGTGAGGGGGACGGGTGAGGGGGGGCATTACTTCACATTACCTGGGCAGGGCAGAGACAGAGATAAAACTTCATCTCAAAAACCATACATGACAAGTGACCAACAGTGTGAATGATTTAAAACAGTGATCGGTCAAACCGATAAAGTGCCCTATTAGGCTTTCAGTATTTGTACATTATGTAATTGTTTTTAAAGGACAGAATAGGCTTAATCTGAATATTTATATTTACACTACCAGTCAAAAGTTTTAGAACGCCCTAATTTTTCCACTTATTTTTTGCAATTCAAGTCATGCTGGTCCAATGAAGAGCTTGAAATGGTACAAAGGTAAGTACTGAACAGCCAGAGGTTAAAAAAAAGATAAAAGATAACAAAACATAAGTTCAATTTATGCCAAATCTACCTCAGGAAAAAAGAACAAGATGGTAAACTTAAAAACATGGAGTGTCCAGCAGTCTCCAGACTTAAACCCCATCGAGCTGGTTTTGAGATGAACTGGACAGAAGAGTGAAAGCCAAGCAACCTGTGTAAAGATCTTTACACAAAGGAATTACTCACTCATTCTCACACACATTCATACACCAGTTCTCACACACATTCATACACCAGTGTACACAGACACTGGGGTGATGTGGGTTAAGTGTCTTGCTCAAGGACACCATGACAGTATTCATCTGTGTCTTTATATGGAGCTGGAATAGCACTACCAACCTTTTGGTCAGTGGATCTGGCCGCCCAGATCACCTTCGGATCAGTTACAGATAGGGATGTAACATTTTCCAAATTTCTT